ACATTTAAGATCCATATATCTTCCACCTAATTTATCAATATTTACCCTTTTACAACTCTCCCCTCTTATACTCTCATGTCCTTTTCTTTTTAAACCATTTGAAAATTAGCTGCAGGTAATATTTCCTTAACTTACATTGGGAGGCAGCTCCTGAAGGATAAGAAGAACATTCTCCTACAAATCAGGATAACATAGTTCATCCAAGAAAAATGATTATTGGTTCACCAAATGTACAGTTCATGTCCAAATTTCCCCAAATCCCCCCATTTTTTTTTTACTATAATATGTATTTGTGTGTGGTTTTTTATTTTTTGGGTGTCAATTGAGTTTATTAAAAGTTAGGGAAGGGAAGCAAAGGGGAACATGGTAGGCACAGGTGGAATCTGGAGGCCGAGAAATGTGTGTATGGTGTGTGGTGTTGGGGATTGAACTCAGAGCCTTACACATGCTGGCAAGTGTTATGTCTCCTGAGTTACTCCCTCTGCTCCTGTGTGTTTTCTTGATTTAGGATCCAGTCAGTGTTCATTCTTGGCATTTGAATATTTAATCTTTCTCTCTCTTTTTTTTTTTTTTTGAGGTATTAGGGTTTGAACTCAGGCCTTGTGCTTGCTAAGCACGCTCTGTACCTCTTGAGCAGGCTCCAGGTCCTTTTAGTTTTAGTTAATGTTTAGACAAGGTCTTGTTCTTTTTGACTGTGGCTGGGTCTCAAGGCTTCGGTCCTACATATGCCTATCTGTAGCTGGGATTATAGTATAAACCACCACATCTGGTTTGTTTGTTGAGATGGGTCTTGCTAACTTTTTTGCCTGGGTTGACCTCAAACTGGATCCTGTTGATCTCTGCCTCCTGAGTAGTTGGTGTGAACCATCATGCCTGACCCTTTAGTCTCTTGAGTTTCTTTTAATTTAGAATAATCTTGTTTTTCATACTTATTTTAACTATGTTTTTTACATTGTTTTTTAAAGAGTTCAAGTCATTTGTCTTAAAGAATCCTCGCATTATAGATTGTGCTTAATCATCTCCTCAAGATTAACTTCAAGCTACATCTTTCTTTTCATTTTTTATTTTTAATCTTTTAAAAAAGTATTGTATGGGGGTACAATGTGACGTTTATCAAAGTTCTTAAAAATAATAGTGTTGAATTTTCTTCCCCATCATTCTCCTTTATCCTCCTCTCCCCATTCCTGGGACAGTTTCAAAAAGTCTCATATTTCCATTTCATACATTATATTTTTTGGCAAGAATACTGTATAGATGATCTGTACTTCTCATTGTTAAACTATTGGTGATACTAAATTAATCATTTGGTAAGATGTAATTGTCATGCCTCTTTTATTATAAATGTTTATTTCTGCCTTGAAATTAATTATTCATTTGTAGAATGATAGTCTGAGGCAGTGTGAATATTCTCTTCTCACCAAAACATTTACCTAATAGTTTAGCATCCATTTTTGATGTTTGCCTGAATCAGTAATTTTTTTTTGAGGCAGTCTTGCTATATAGCCATGTTGACCTCCAATGTGCAATCCTCCTGCCTTAGGCTCCCAAGTGTTGGGATTATAGGTATGTACTGCCACACCTGGCCAACTTAGTAATTTTTATTAGAATTTAGTATAATTTATTGGCTACGTATTTATACATTCTTCATTTATTCATTTCATGAATATTAATTCAGTGTGTACACAATCAGGTTTTGTGTTAATCACTAGGCTACATGTTGGACACAGTCTGGTGGGTGGTTTGGTGGTTCCTGAAATCTTGTAGGAAAGCTTGACATGAATCAATTATTCACATTGATATATGTTTATAGATGGTGATAAATGGTTTAAAGGAAAAGAATGGAGTACTATGAGAGATAATAAGGGGAGTCATAACCTTTCCAGAGTTTTAGAGAATACTTCTTTTTGAAAGTGGTGTTTGAGCTCTCAAGCTCAAATAAGAATGATAAACTTAAATAACTCAAATTTCTTTAATATTTATTCTGTACCACTTATCTGTTAATTTTATCTGGCAAATTAATCATAGAGCACCTGGTGCTCTCGTACCAAGTTGTTATTAAAATAATTATTATTATTTAAATTTTCTTAATATTGTTTGCCATTAAATTATAGGCTTCTTGATGTTACAGATGATGTCTGAGATTTGACTTGATTACAGTACCCTCTACACAGTAGGTGTATAATAAATATGTTAGTCTGATTATTGGCTTACTAATATTTTTACATAATGACTAAGATTCCTTTAAGTATTGTAGGTGTATATTGCATGTGTTAGATTGGGTATGGTGAGAAATTTCATTTGCTTTTAGCAGTTGTCTAAATTGTGTGGTCTTCATCAAAACAAAATGGCATTTTTTTTTTCCAGTGGTAGTGAGGTTTGAGCTCAGGGCTTCATTCTTGCTAGGCAGGTTCTCTATCACTTGAGTCATGCCTCCAACTCTTTTTGCTGTGGTCACTTTGGAGATAGGGTCTTGCTTTCTGTTCAGGCTGGCTTGGACCATGATCCTTCTATTTCTGCCATCACTGGAATGACAGGCATGCACCACTGTACTCAGCTACTGGTTAAGATAGGATCTCATGAACTTTTTGTGTGGGCTAGCATTGAATCCTGATCTTCCCAATCTCAGCCTCCCAAATGTCTAGGATTGTAGGTATGAGCTACCAACACCTGGCTGAAATGTCATGTTTTTGAAAATTATTCCAAACTGTAAATAATTAGGTAAAAAAGATTTTATAAAAGCTATTCATTGATTATGTAGCATATTTGTCTATTGAAACTTAGATAACCTAACCTGAACCAACAATAACAAATAAAAGTTGACTAAATTAATAATCTTGGGGAAGTACTTGAAAAGTCAGTTAATCCCCTGTGTTTATTTTCTTATTTGTAAACGGAGAGAAAATACACTTCAGAGAAGAAGAAACCTTATCTTTATATATCAAAGAAGATTCATCACTTTTTATTTTTGACTTAAACTTTGTAATGACAGGATATTGCATTTCTGATTTTCCCTCTTTTTCATGTTTTCCTTACTTGATTTTTTGGGGAAATTATAATCTGACCACCTTTCCATATATACTAATTAAGAAGCTAAGCATGATTTCCAGTTTGAAAAGAAAATGTTGAGAAATTAAGGAAATAGATAAACATGGAAATCCTGATAATAGATGAAAAAAGGGGATGGGTAATAGTTGGCATTTACTTAACACCTGTTGTGCACTCTTGGCATTCTGTTAAATAGTTGACACACGTAATATATATGCCCAGAGGATGCTTCTGATCAGTTAACATTAAGGGAAGCTTAGAAACAGTATTTGGAATGAAGAAGTTTAAAAAGAATAATAACCAGAGTTATTATTAGAATTTTTCAAACTAATACCCTTATGCTAGGCTTGAGCTTTCCAGTCATTTCCCATTTGACAAAAGTTCTGAAAGCTTCCTTTTCTAATAGAAATGTAATTTTATCCCAGTCAAAATGATTGCTTTTCCAACACCTGAAACTTGACTTTTGAAGCGTATTCTATTGAATGAACAAGTCTGCCTTCTATGTTCAGTTCTACAGCTGTCTCTCAGTATCCATGGGGGACCCCTGCAGATAGCAAAATCCATGGATACTCAAGTCTTTATAGAAAATGATATTGTGTTTGCACTAATCTGTGCATATTTTCCTGTATACTTTAAATCATCTACATACATATTACTTATAAGATAGTACAGTGTAAGTTCTAGGTAAGTAGTTGTTATACTGTACTGTTGAGAGAATAATGACAAAAAAAATATTTGTATGTGTTTAGTACAGATGCAGTTTTTTCTGAATTTTTTTCCATCTGTGGTTGGTTTATTCTGCAGATGCAGAATCCACAGGTACAGAGGATTCTGTACCAAATCCATCAAAAGTGTATTTTGATGATTGTCAGCTTATATGTTTCTAAACCACATTAACTTAAAGATCTTAAATCTTTAAGTTGTTAATGACAACTTTTATTATTTACCATTGTCTGCATAGATTTAGAAGAGATTTTACCCTTATGTTCTTAAGATTTATAAATTATATTTTAATAACTCAAAGTATAATACAAACTTGATCTATTTTTTAGGTTTAACAAGTCTCTTAAGTGCTGTTTCCCTACTGATGGAGAATTACTTCCAAGCAGAAGCTTACAACCTGGACAAGGTGTTAGATGAATTTGAACAAAACGAAGGTAAAACTTTACATTGGAGAATCTATTTGGATTTATGATAGAATGTGAGAATAAGGGGACATAGTACTTAAAAAAATAAAATCAGACCTGAAGACTTAATGACAATCATAATAATAATATATAATTTCCAGAGGAAGAAATGCTATTTTTTGCACTGTGTCAATACATGGATTGTATCATTTAATGTTTAAAACAATCTCATGAATGTAGACCTTCTTTGTTTTACAGATGAGCATAGAGGCACAGAGGCTACCACTTCCTGTAAGTTACTTGCTACTAAGTGGCAGAGTTAGGATCCAGGTAGTGTGGTACTAGAGCTCTCTCCCTACCCTAGGACAGACAGTTAGTTAATTTCCAAGAAAAGCTTTAGAATGTGTTCTTGGATTTCTGACACTAAGAAAAATTGCTTCATCCATATTGATTGCTCAATAAAGTAAAGACATATTATAAACCTAATGTTAAAAGATTTACATTTTTGAGTAATTGCAAAGATGGTTAATTAAATTACACATTCTCAAGCCTCAGTCTAGAAAAAACTGCTTAAGATTCACTTCATTTATAGAAGCTTTTTCTCTCAACTCCCCTCTCAATTTGATTTGAATGGATAAGCCATAAGTAAATCTCTTTCATCTTACCGTATTTCCCCTATGTTTTCTAACAGAAATGACATGTAAAAAATTTACAGAAATGATATATTTCCATATAAAGAACAGACTTTTGGCGGGTGCAGTGGCCACTCCTGTAATTGCAGCTATTGGGAGGATTGTGTTTTGAGGCCAGCTAGATGAAAGTTAGCATAATCCTATCTCAATCAATGAGTTGGGTGTGGTTGCTCATGCTTCTGATCCCAGCTATTTGTGGTGCCATAGTTAGAAGGATTACAGTCTGAGGCTAGCCCAGGACAAAAATGTCCCTATCTAAAAAAAAAAAATATCCCTAAAAATAAAAATAGCTAGAGGTGTGGCTGAAGTGACAGAGTGTGTACCTAGACAAGTTGAAGGCCCTAAGTTCAAACCTTTGTACTGCCAAAAATCAATCAGTCAATCAATAATGAGGATTTTAATTAGGAGTCTGTATACCTTCACTACAGCCCAATGATTCTGGTTATTCTTTGATAGTAGTTGGAAAGAGATTAGATTCTTTGTTTTTATTTTTTTGGTGGTACTGGCATTTTTGACATCGGAGCAAGTGCTCTATCACTTGATCCACACCCCATCCCTTTTCGTTTTTGTTATTTTTCAGATAGGATCTTATACTTTTGCCTGGGCTGACTTTAGACCATGATTCTTCTATCTCTGCTACTGCACATGTCCTGTGAGAATAGTTTTGATTCTGTTACTTTCAGTCTGTAATAGAATAAACCTGAATTAGAATATGGGATCATGGGGATAAAGAGAGGGAAAAAAAGGATATGTGGAATATCCTACTTTTCTCATGTTTTTCCATTAAAGATCATTTCCCTAGGCTTTTTCTTGACTCACATAATGTGAAATCAAATGATTTGGGATTTTGTTGGATTTCAATGGGCTTTGTACATAACTATCCAGAAGGTACATTATCCTCTGAGATTCAACCATCTATACAAATATTTTCATAATACTCTTTTTCAGTTTAGCCCTATATGTATTGCAGTTACTTAAGTCAAGAGATAACTAGATACATGTTACGCCTAATCATGTGAATACTGTGGTTCCAGAATACCACTGGCTAGTAGACTGCTGTAGATTCTAGTAGGGTACTTTGTGTATAGTTATTTTACAGTACATTTTTGTTGAATCTGTAAAAATAAATATCTTAGCAAATACAGTACTTGCTCACAGAAATTAACTCCTTTAGAAGGAGAAAGATTTCCAAACCCACTTCTCAGTTGTAACTATGTTGAACTAGTTTTTTTCTTAATTGAACTACTTTTTATTTTATTTGAACTGTTTCTATTTTTATTTTTTGAGGGTTTCAGACTTGTTTATCTCCCTGCCTTAGTCCCCCAAGTGCTAGGATTATAGACATGGTACTGCCATACACAGTTTGAACTAGTTTTTTTGAATCTCAGTATCAGTCGCATTAAAAACTACCAACTTAGAGAGTAAATGAAGTGATTTCTCATTTTGTGTTATGTTATTTCCTTCTTTAAATAAGAAATAAACCACAAATGGTCTGTGATAACACTAGGTAATAACATTATACCTATGTATTAGGTGACTGAATAATGAAAATATAAAAACCTGATTATTCCTGTTTGAATATTAAATATTCTTATAAGAAGTATATCTTTGCTTATTTCTAGGAACCAGCTTGGAAATATGATTCATCTTTTAAAGGAAGTCCATAGTCTAAATCTCAACTCTCTGCTAGCCCGAATTTGTATTTAAATTTAGGATTTAGTAACTCAGAGGATACTAAAACCATTCTTTACACAATCTTAGGTTTATGGCTTTTACTTTTTGCCTTTTGTCGCTTTTTTCCATGACTTCCATATGCTAATGATTTTCTCAGTTCAAACTGATTTACTTATTGCTGTTTTAAATCCTTTTGTTTAAGCTGTATGTTTCCTCATTCCCCTACTTACAAAGGCTTCTTTTCCAAACTTAAATGTCTTAAAGCCTAGTTCAGTGTCTTCTGCCTCCATAAATTCAAGCTCACTTACATTACTCTGAATTTCTTTCTTTCTCCTCTGAATTTCTTTTCTTTTCTTGGCAGTGCTGGGTTTTGAACTCAGGGCCTCAAACTTGCTAGTCAAGTGCTCTACCATTTGAACCACCCCAGCCCTTTTTGCTTTGGTTATTTTGCAATAGGGTCTCACATTTTTTGGTCAGGCCAGCCTGGACCATGATACTTTTAGTTATACTTTTCATGTAGCTGGGATGATTCCACCATACCCAGTGTTTTATTAGTTGAGATGGGGTCTCACTGTGATTCTTCTGATCTCTGCCTCCCAAGGATTACAGTTATGAGCCACCATTCCTGGCTTATTTTCTATTCTTACATAATAGTTTTCAAATATATATGCTACTCTCTGCTACTAATTAGGTAGTCATATGAATTGTATATACATCTTATCTTCCCAACTAGATTATGTACTTTATAGAGGCACTAGTTATCATTTAATTTTCATGTGTCACAAAACCAATGTTTTTATCATATGGTAGTATATGTATGTGTGCTTGCCATGTATTAAGCCTTTTGCAGAGTGAGGATTTCCAATGAAGGGATGAAATGGTTTCTGCTTTTAGAAATTATTCAGTGAATGAAAGAGAAAGTAATAAACCATTTCCTTAATAAAGATATCAACAGGTGCCGTGAGTACATTAAAGATGAATGTTATGAACACATCTGTATGATTTCAGCATCATGATTGTCAGTTACTGGAGGAAGAGTGCAGGAAAGACACTAAGTGCATTATTTCTTATTTCTTTAATTTACTTTGACATAAACAATAGCATTATAAATTGGGAGAATAACTTAGCTATTGTAGTTATGGTCTGTTAAAAAGTAAATAGCAATGTTACATGAAATTATTCTTAATGATAGGTTGTAAGTAAGGTGATTTAATAAGATAATACTTTTTGCCAAATGTCCTCAGATAATATAAATATGAATGTGGTTAATAATGTATTATGACATGGTTACAGAATTTCATACTGTAGCAAACTTTAAAAAATAACTTATAATGGGAAAAAATTTAAATATATATAAATTAAAGGGAATAGTATAAAAAACCTCAGTGTACCCATCACTTATCTTTAACAGTGACCAACATACTGCCTGTTTTGTTTCATTTATATCTTCTTCTATACCTCACTCCGTTTCATTTTTTTTAAGTTTTTTTTTTCTTTTTTTTAGATGGTATAGTACGGAGTTTGAACTCAGGGCCTTGTGCTAGCAAGCACTCTGCCACTTGAGACATACCTCCAGCTCTCTTTACTTTAGTTATTTTTCAGATGGAGTCTTGTGTTTTTGCCCAGGGCTGGCCTCATACCATGCTTCTCCTACCTATACCACATATAACTGGAATTACAAGTGTGATCCAACATGCCCATCTTATTTGTTGAGATGGGATCTCAATAACTTTTTGCTTAGGCTGACCTTGAACTGTGATCTTCCTGATCTCCACCTTCCAAGTAGCTGGGAGTATAGGAATGCACCACCATGTCTGGTTTTATTTTTAAAAAGTTTCCTAAAGATAATCTTTATATTCACTAAAATGCATAGAACTTAACTGTACAGTTTTTTTGTTTTGTTTTGTTTTGAAACAGGGTTTCAACTCATGGGCTTAAGCAATCCTCTCACCTTAGCCTCCTTAGTAGCTAGGACTACAGGCATGTGCTTGAATGCCTGGCTACCTATACAGTTTTGACAAATGGAGACAGCTGTGTAACCCACACATCCCAATCATGACTTAGATTATGGAGCATTTAGTCTCCACAGGAAATTCCATCATTTTCCTTTCTACTCAGTTACTTTGTGCTCACTACTGTTGTGGTTTTTTTCTTCCCCTTCTTAGATTAGTCCTTGTCCTGACTTGAACATGGACAATCCAAAGGGTGCTTTCCCCTCTTCTGGGTTTGGGGTGGGTTCAGTTTAATCATGTAGATTGCAGTAGAATTCTTTTTGTTGTTTGAAATATCCTGAAATACTATCATTTGATGGCATAATTATAGAAAATTGTATTAAATATATTTTCACATTCATAGCCCAAAATTTAGATAATCTTCATATCTTAGTAATATTTTATTTTTAGAGTATAACTAGAAATGTTGATTAACATCACATAGTAACTTTTCAGTGTCAGTAGCAAATTTATTTTAATTTTTTTCAGATGAAACAATTTCTCCTACTTTACTGGACACAAAGTGGAATAAGATTTTAGATTCCTCTTCTCACCGACTGTCATTTAACCCTGCATTGGCCAGTGTGGATGAACCTGTTGTTTCTAATGAGTCACAGTCACAGCTGAAAGTCTTCTCTCTGGCTCATTCAGCTCCCCTGACCAAGGAGGGAGAAGATAATTGTGCTGACGGACAGCACTGTGGTTTAAATTCAGGGATTGCCACTATGTGGATTGATGAAAGTGCCATTGCAGAAGATCAGTTAATTAAGAGAAACTACAGTCAGGATGATCAATGCAGTGCTATTGAAGTGGGAGAGAAAAAATGTGGAAACCTAACTTGTTTGCCAGATGAGAACAATGTTCTTGTTGTAGCTGTCATGCATAACTGTGATAAAAGGACATTACCAAGTGATTTTCAGGATTGTAGTAATTACAATAGTCAATCCCTTGAGGATTCTCTTAGTTGTTCACTGGATAATGAAAACAGACAAACTAATCAACTTAGTTTTAGCATGAATGGATCCACTGTAAAAGACATGAACTTAGAGAAACAAATGGATCCATTGAATAGACCAAAAACGGAGGGGGATTCTGTTAACCATCTATGTACTATTTCTTCTGATACTCTACCCAGTATCTGTTCCCCTTCACAATTAAAGGATGATGAAAATATGGGTAGAGCCCCCTCCATGTCTGTTGTTACAAGTTTAACAGTTGATTTAGTGATCTCATCCCAGGGAACAGATGGAGGTCCTGATGATAAAAAGCAGGAAAACTATATGTCAGATGAGAAAAACAACTCTCCTAGGATGGATCTAGGGAGTCCAAACTCCTTTTCCCATTTGAGTGAGGAGATGTTGACAAAAAAAGAGTCAACAGAGGAGAGAACAACTGAAGAAACCCTCTTGTCTGTTTTACCTTTGTGTCTCAAACCAGACATGCCTAATGGATCTGGAAGGGATAATAACTGTGAAGAGTCTTCAGATTGTCTTGTGCCTAGTGAAGTTATGGCTAATGAAAAGGAAGTTTATGAGCATGAAGAAATTCTTGGCACTACAGAATTTCTTAATATGACAGATCGTTTTTCTGTCTCTCAGGAGATGACTGATTGGAAATTGACTAAACTAAATGAGACGAATGATAGCCAAGTAAATGAAGAACATCAAAAGTTCTTACAGAGTAGTCAGCCTGAGGACACTAATGATGAGAGTGGAGGAGAGTGTGTTGGAATGGCAGATGCAGGTCTAGATTTCAAAGGAACTTACATGAATGAAAGTGCAGGATGTGATTTATCCACTGTTGTAGATACACCAGCAGCAAATTCCCTATCTAATGGATGTGATTCCTATGGAATGCAGAGCCCAATTGTTTCTTTTGTTCCAAAGACTTTACCTTCCAAAGAAGATTCAGTAACAGAAGAAAAGGAAATAGAGGAAAGCAAATCAGAATGCTATTCAAATATTTATGAACAGAGAGGAAATGAGGCCACCGAGGTTAGTGGACTACTTTTAAACAGCTCTGGAGACCTCATGAAGAAAAATTATTTACATAATTTCTGTAGTCAAGTTCCATCAGTGCTTGGGCAGTCTTCCCCCAAGATAGTAGCAAACCTGCAATCTATCAGTGTTCCTTTTGGTGGTGCAAGACCCAAGCAACCTTCTAATCTTAAACTTCAAATTCCAAAGCCATTATCAGACCATTTGCAAAATGACTTTCCTGCAAACAATGGAAATAATATTAAAAACAAAAATGATATTCTTGGAAAAGCAAAATTAGGGGAAAACCCAGCAACCAATGTATGCAGTGCATCTTTGGGAAATATTTCTATTGCAGATACAAATGGGGAACATTTAGAAAGTTATGAGGCTGAGCTCTCCAGTAGGCCATGCCTTGCATTAGCTCCAGATAGCCCAGATAATGATCTCAGAGCTGGTCAGTTTGGAATTTCTGTCAGAAAGCCATTTACCACTCTGGGCGAGGTGGCTCCAGTATGGGTACCTGATTCCCAAGCTCCAAATTGCATGAAGTGTGAAGCCCGGTTTACATTCACTAAAAGGAGGCATCATTGCAGAGCATGTGGGAAGGTAAGTTGCATGTATCAGGTAAGAAATCTAGCGTGTTTATTTTATGGCGCTCAACTACAAATTAATTAAATGCTGAGCATGGCTGTGCATGTCTGTAATCCCAGCACTCTGGAGGCTGAGGCAGGAATATTGTGAGTTTAAGGGCTCACACAGGGCTGCACAGTGAGACCCATCTCAAAAAAAGGTCAATAAAGGCAGTACTGGGTAAAGATACTTCTGGTTGAGATAATATTATAAATAGCTTTTTTTTTTTTTTTTTCAATTCTGAAGATTGAATCCAGGGTCTCGCACATGCTAGGCAAGTGCTCTACCACTTGAGCCACATTCACAGCATTTTTGTTTGTTAGTTTGTTTTTGAGATAAGGTTTAGCTAGCCTGGGCTGGCCTTGAATTCGTGATCCTCCTACCTCTGCCTCCCCAGTAGCTGTGTCACCATGCTTGGCATAAATAGCTTTTGAAAACCCAGTTCTAGTGAGTTTCTATATAAAACATGTCCTTGCTGATTCTTAGATAGTGAGTGTAACTTTTTGTTGTTGTTGCCAGGATTTGTGGTGTATCAGTTTTTATGAGGACATGAAAATTGAGGAAGTGTTAACTTTGTGGTTTCTGTATTAATAGACACTTGGTTAATGGGGTAGTTTGAAAAGAGGAAGTTCTTTCAGCTTAGGAAATATTTGTGATTGTTTTCATATTTTGTAATTTTTGAAAAATTGACTGTAATACGTAGAATCCATCTTACTTTTTTGTGTAGAAGTTTTGCCATGTACCAATATTCTGGGACTTTGTATAGACAAACACATAGATTTGTCTTTTTTCTCTTAACACTTTAATAGAAACTAGAATTGGAGGCTCGAGAACCTGATACTGGACTAGATTATTGTTCTCCAGAATTCATGTCCTGGTACAGTCGTCGATGACTGAAGGTGCCAGACAAACAGTTAAGAGAGCAGATTTATGCCACAGACCAAGAGTTATGAGTAAAGCAAGAACAAAGTTTATTGAAAGGATAAGAAAGCACCCTGATGGGTGGGACTTAGTGAAAGAGCTAAGCCAAAAGGGTGGCTGAAGTTCATGATAGGGGCTGACTTTAGACACTCCTCCCTACTCTACTTTGAAGCTGTAGCTATAATTGGCTGTTTGATTAACTTCTTGCTGAACCCGACCATCTGGCTACCCTCCATCCTTACCAGGCCAGACATTCCAAGAAGTTCTCATTAGTCTATCTTGTCCTTGAAACCTGTCATGTACATTTTATGACTACACTCATTATTCTAGTGAAATCCCTTTTTTGTTTATCTTGGGAAAGTTTGCTATGTTTCACTCCTTTTAGTGGTCTAGATGGCATCCCTTTAAGATGTCTGACTTTAGGCATGTTTTATCTTTTTTTCCTGATCTAGGAAGAGAAACTACTGTGCCTCAGCACATGTGTGTGAAGGAGATGGTTTCTCAGTCTCCCTAAGTTTTGCTTTTAAGTATGTTTTCCTATCTCCTTTATCTACAGCAAAGTTACTTTTGCCATTCATCCCTTTATATCCCCAGGGTTGCCATTTGATCCTAGGGACATTTCTGCCATTTTATTTCCCCTCACACTTGTCCCTTACAATCCCATGACAAGGTTATAAGAATAATTAATATTCCTTAGGTTTCCTGAAATTCTGTTAGCTAATAATATAAGTTTTAATTTGTCTTTTTAATAAAAGTTGTTAATGAGGCAGAAAGGGGATTTTACATTTTTAAAAAGAATGTGAGGTCTGATATCATATCTAGATTCACTATGTAACTTTACTAATCCTTGGTTTTGTTTTTTTTCCTTTTTTTTTTCCCCCCTGCCCCCCCCTCCCTTACCACCCACTCCACCCCCTCCTCCCCCCCCCAATACACAGCAGAAACTATTTTGCCCTTATTTCTAATTTTGTTGTAGAGAGAGTATAAGCAATAATAGGAAGGAACAAGGGGTTTTCCTGGTTGAGATAAGGATAGCTATACAGGGAGTTGACTCACATTAATTTCCTGTGCGTGGGTGTTACCTTCTAGGTTAATTCTTTTTGATCTAACCTTTTCTCTAGTTCCTGGTCCCCTTTTCCTATTGGCCTCAGTTGCTTTAAGGTATCTGCTTTAGTTTCTCTGCATTAAGGGCAACAAATGCTAGCTAGTTTTTTAGGTGTCTTACCTATCCTCACCCTCCCTTGTGTGCTCTCGCTTTTATCATGTGCTCAAAGTCCAATCCCTTGTTGTGTTTGCCCTTGATCTAATGTCCACATATGAGGGAGAACATACGATTTTTGGTCTTTTGGGCCAGGCTAACCTCACTCAGAATGATGTTCTCCAATTCCATCCATTTACCAGCGAATGATAACATTTCGTTCTTCTTCATGGCTGCATAAAATTCCATTGTGTATAGATACCACATTTTCTTAATCCATTCGTCAGTGCTGGGGCATCTTGGCTGTTTCCATAACTTGGCTATTGTGAATAGTGCCGCAATAAACATGGATGTGCAGTATATCCCCAAGAGTGTTATTGCTGGATCAAATGGTAGATCGATGTCCAGCTTTTTAAGTAGCCTCCAAATTTTTTTCCAGAGTGGTTGTACTAGTCTACATTCCCACCAACAGTGTAAGAGGGTTCCTTTTTCCCCGCATCCTCGCCAACACCTGTTGTTGGTGGTGTTGCTGATGATGGCTATTCTAACGGGTGAGGTGGAATCTTAGTGTGGTTTTAATTTGCATTTCCTTTATTGCTAGAGATGGTGAGCATTTTTTCATGTGTTTTCTGGCCATTTGAATTTCTTCTTTTGAGAAAGTTCTGTTTAGTTCACTTGCCCATTTCTTTATTGGTTCATTAGTTTTGGGAGAATTTAGTTTTTTAAGTTCCCTTATATTCTGGTTATCAGTCCTTTGTCTGATGTATAGTGGCAAATATTTTCTCCCACTCTGTGGGTGTTCTCTTCAGTTTAGAGACCATTTCTTTTGATGAACAGAAGCTTTTTAGTTTTATGAGGTCCCATTTATCTATGCTATCTCTTAGTTGCTGTGCTGCTGGGGTTTCATTGAGAAAGTTCTTACCTATACCTACTAACTCCAGAGTATTTCCTACTCTTTCCTGTATCAACTTTAGAGTTTGGGTCTGATATTAAGATCCTTGATCCATTTTGAGTTAATCTTGGTATAGGGTGATATACATGGATCTAGTTTCAGTTTTTTGCAGACTGCTAACCAGTTTTCCCAGCAGTTTTTGTTGAAGAGGCTGCTATTTCTCCATCGTATATTTTTAGCTCCTTTGTCAAAGATAAGTTGGTTATAGTTGTGTGGCTTCATATCTGGTCCTCTATTCTGTTCCACTGGTCTTCATGTCTGTTTTTGTGCCAGTACCATGCTGTTTTTTTGTTATTGCTTTGTAATATAGTTTGAAGTCAGGTATTGTGATACCTCCTGCATTGTTCTTTTGACTGAGTATTGCCTTGGCTATTCGTGGCCTCTTGTGTTTCCATATAAATTTCAGTAGATTTTTCAATCTCTTTAATGAATGTCATTGGAATTTTGATGGGAATTGCATTAAACATGTAGATTACTTTTGGGAGTATCATTTTTACTATGTTGATTCTACCAATCCATGAGCATGGGAGATCTCTCCACTTTCTATAGTCTTCCTCAATCTCTTTCTTCAGAAGTGTATAGTTTTCCTTGTAGAGGTCTTTCACATCTTTTGTTAGGTTTACACCTAGGTATTTGATTTTTTTTGAGGCTATTGTAAATGGAATTGTTTTCATACATTCTTTTTCAGTTTGCTCATTGTTAGTGTATAGAAATGCTAATGATTTTTCTATGTTGATTTTATATCCTGCTACCTTGCTATAGCTATTGATGATGTCTAGAAGCTTCTGAGTAGAGTTTTTTGGGTCTTTAAGGTATAGGATCATGTCGTCTGCAAATAGGGATATTTTGACAGTTTCTTTACCTATTTGTATTCCTTTTATTCCTTCTTCTTGCCTAATTGCTCTGGCTAGGAATTCCAGTACTATGTTGAATAGGAGTGGAGATAGTGGGCATCCTTGTCTGGTTCCTGATTTTAGAGGGAATGGTTTCAGTTTTTCTCCGTTAAGTATAATGCTGGCTGTAGGTTTGTCATATATAGCTTTTATAATGTTGAACTTTCCTTCTATTCCTAGTTTTCTTAGAGCTTTTATCATGAAATGGTGTTGGATCTTATCAAAGGCTTTTTCTGCATCTATTGAGATGATCAAGTGGTTTTTGTCTTTGCTTCTGTTAATGTGGTTTATTACGTTTATTGATTTTCGTATGTTGAACCACCCTGCATCCCTGGGATGAAGCCTACTTGGTCGTGGTGAATAATCTTTTTGATGTGTTGAATTCGTTTGCCATTATTTTGTTGAGGATTTTTGCATCAATGTTCATTAAGGAGATTGGCCTATAGTTCTCCTTTTTGGAGGTGTCTTTGCCTGGTTTTGGGATAAGTGTAATACTGGCTTCATAAAATGTGTTTGGCAGTTTTCCTTCCCTTTCTATTTCATGGAACAGTTTAAGGAGGGTTGGTATCAGTTCTTCTTTAAAGGTCTGATAGAATTCAGCAGAGAATCCATCAGGTCCTGGACTTTTCTTTTTGGGGAGACTCTTGATTGCTGCTTCAATTTCATTTTGTGTTATAGATCTATTCAGGTGATTAATTTCCTCTTGGTTCAGTTTTGGATGATCATATGTATCTAGAAATCTGTCCATTTCTTTAAGATTTTCAAATTTATTTGAATATAGGTTCTCAAAGTAGTCTCTGATGATTTCCTGGACTTCCATGGTGTTTGTTGTTATCTCCCCTTTTGCATTCCTGATTCTACTAATTTGGGTTTTTCTCTCCTCATTTTAGTCAGGTTTGCCAGGGTCTATCGATCTTGTTTATTTTTTCAAAGAACCAACTTTTTGTTTCATTAATTCTTTGTATGGTTTTTTTGGTTTCTATTTCATTGATTTCAGCTCTTATTTTTATTA